AGGCAGCCGACGCACGACGCGCTCCGAATCATCAAGAGCGTCCGCACAGCGATATGCTACTTCAGCATGACGCTCAGCGGAGCTCTGATCACGAAGGATCTTATCCTCAAGAGCTCGAAGAGTACCGCGAGTCACCGGACGGCGGTTGACCCGGTCGTCACCGCCCGCCACCGACTCCTCTCGATCAGAACAGTGACGTCCACTATCACGTGGAACTTCTAGTGAGACGACGTCGTCATCAGGGTCAAACCCGATATCTGGTGAAGTGGCGGGGATATCCCGACTCCGAAAATTTGTGGGAGTTTGAGAGGCCACTTCGGTAAGATTGCCCAGACGCCGTGGACGCTTTTGATCAGAAAGATCAGGGCGCCGTCCCGCGCTTCCCTGCAATAGCCAGGGAAGTAGAAGGGCCATAAACTGAACTCAAGCAGTGGTCCTGAGCTCTTGCGGTAGCAGACAAAGAGCTCGCGGGAGCGTTAGGGGTTGGACCATACGTCGCAGGGCGACAATCCGAAGGAAATCGAAGGCGTGCCTTGAGTTTGGCAAACTGAAATCGGAGGTGTCGCTCCACACGCACGTCACTTCCTTGTGGCTCAACTGTAAGTTATACTGTGGGGAAAGCTTCCGGTGTCGTTACACCCATTGCTCAAAGAGCGCTTCGTCATCTGTAGCGCTTCCGCCAGGGGCGAGCACTACAGGTATCGTCCGCATTGCGGGTACACTAGAGCCACCACGTTGAGCACGTAGACGAGTGCGATAAACGTCCAACGGAATTTCATGTGGACCAAGAAACGAGCTCGAAGAGCTTTCCGTTCGGCAATCTCATTTTCCGTTATGGCCGGGGACCCGATGATGTGGAGGCGTAATGACCGAGCTACCGCGTCCTTCGCTTCCATAGCGGGATCCGTGAGGCGGAAGCCATATTCCACACGGGGTTCAATGACCGGCCGCGGACGGGCTCGCATCAGAGCCGCCTTACAGGCAGCTTGTAGCTGCCGCCTCTGTGCCCCATCGAGGTTATTGGTAATGACACCACGTCGCTCAGGTGACGAGAAGTCAGGAAACGGACATGGGGTCCGCAAGGAGCGAGCAGGGCTCGTATCACGCTGCTGGCGCGGCTCGCCTTCCTCGTCATACCACGCGGGAAAAGGAGTGTCAGACTCGTAGTCGACCACCTCCACATCCTCAACGAGGTCAGTCATCACTGATGACGTGCACGGAGCGCGACGCTCGGGCTCATCGAGCCTAGGATTTACATCCCCCGATGCCGCGGACGCACTGTCCGACATTGCACCGCGTGCGGGGAACGAAGTTGTACTCTGCTTGTGTGTGTGTTGGGACCAGCGAGACTTGGTGACTTCAGTGTCGTGAACACAGAGCTCATTAAGCACGGAGGTGGTTTCGTTCCAATTTGCAGTGCCTAGTGGACATGCAGGCCTTGTTTCGGCGATAATCGATTAGGACTGTAAATGTTCTCAATCTTAATGGGAAAGAGTGTAACGGGGTTACACCTACCCTGGTAACAGGGGTGTGTATGGCATGGTGTGACCACACCCAAACAAGAATACGGTACGGGGCTGGATAGCCAGTAGTTATACATGTATTTAGATTCTACTATACATATTTTGGATAATCTATGCATTTCAAATTAGGCGGCTTTGCCGCATATAGAAATCAGTTTTGTATTTTAAACCGAAGAGTTTATTAGCCTTGGCTAAGGTTGTAAATACTCTTGGAGTAAGCGGATTGCGACCCGCAAAACTCGTACTGGTTCTTGTAATGAACGAAAGGTCGGTGACCTAGATTACGCTTCCTCAAAGTGCAAAGCTACGGCAGCCCCGCTGCATCTACTGTAGAAAAGCTGAATATTGCGGGGAGAATGGGTATAGTGGTCATTGATAAAGCGGGGAAGACACGGTAAGGGAAATGGACAACAACTTCCGCTTACTTAATCTAGCACTCGCACATGACAAAATTATTGTGGAGGGGGGCAGTATTGGGGTAATGTGAGTTTTTAATTTATGGACCTAGACTCTCAACTCGCGCTCGATCTGTTATCTCGAAGCTTCAATATTAAAATATCAAGGTAGAAATTGTCACCGTTCATACTTACTGACACGATGGATGCGCGAGTTAAAGATAAGACGACAAATTATAGTGCTGGAGTCAAGGAAGACGATGACAATGATATTACAAGAGGTAAAATTGTGCATATTTCATTTAACCGAAAATCTGATGAAGGTGCATTTAAGGCGGTTGAACTTGAGGATGCGGACTAAGCATGGAATATGTTGAAGCATATGGGCTGTCCAATTCGAATCTTCGCTTTACTGCAGCAGGAGCGAAAGCGCCATACATAACACCAACGCAATATCTTGTCAGACTTGCAGTGAAAAGGCTGATGCTGGGGCACTGAATACATACATTGAGATTTAAGCTACCGAAATCCATACGCTAGGATTAAGCTTTTCCTCGCGCGGGATGCTGGTAGCTATCCGACCCATTTTGGGACTGGGTTCCGTACCCCTCTTTACACTATCGGTCTCCTCCCACCCAACTGTCACACACCTAATTGGGTATGGGTTGGCAGGGCGGTCACACCACAGAAATGTGATTTCTCGTCCACTTTGGTAACCTATTCTGGTTTCCTTGATTTGGATCGTATGGGTATCGAACCAGGTACCTTCCGGTTCCAGGCCAAGCTACAAACCACTTGATCCAGGATCGATAATTGATACATTGAGGCTACAACATTTGGTGCCGCTTCAATGCTCTGTCAACTGGGTGTACGTCCTCACTCAACGTCGACATTGGCATCAGGAGCAATCGCAGTTTTTTTTAGCAAATTCAGAATGAAGAAGCTACGCATCCGACACAGTGCTTTCGATAGGCACAACGATTGTGTAGTATGAAGAAAAAATAATGTCTATTTATATCGGTATATCTTGCTGCAGATAAAGAAACTAATTTTAAATGAAGCACTAGACACCGGTGGAATCGATGAATGATTGCTCGCATTTTGCTGTTTCGCGCAATTGCCGAGTGTGCAGTCATTTGGTGCGAGATCAAGTGGCAGTCTGTAATTTTGACAATGCTTGGAGGCAATGAGATTTCAATTGTCAGCAACTGATTGTGATGTGCAGAGAAGGAAGACGAGTTTTGAGGCGTGAAAATTGCAAGGGAAAGATTGGAAATATAGTTTACCCACATTGTGCGATTGCAATCGAACAAGAACACACTGTAGTATTTGCTAGAGCGTCGACTGACAGGCATCTGATCTATCCGTGCAAATAACATAAATATATCTGATGTTTCGAATTTTTTTCAAAAATGAAGGTTGATAAATAATATACGTGGCGCTGAATTTTCACTTGGCTCGGTTAAACGGTTCTCAAAATCATAATTAGGTCAGCGCTTTTTAAATCAGATTATATCATCATTCCAAAGGATTTATGTTGCTCACCTTGATGCACCGTAGACATGGACGCAGAGGAAAACTAGCATTTTAACGTTTCCAGAGTAGACAACAACCGTTGATAGCTTTACCAGTAAAAACTAGTGATGACGTGAATACTTCAATAATAATGTTTGAAAATGGATTAAGGACTATATTAAAAAATAAATACCATTAATCAACTGGTGGTTCCGACAAAGAATAAATTGACATTATCATGAGCACCCATTCCAACAGCCCGAGCGTGCCACAAGTAGCGCAGAACGCTGTGCTTATGCGATCAGAGGATCTTGAAGGAAAGTGTGCACGTGTTCGCGGATATGATTTCAACGAGGGTGTCAATTACGAGAAGCTTATGCAATCGTATGTGACTATGGGATACCAAGGCACGAATCTGGGCGAGGCCATTGAAGAAATTAAGCGTATGCGTCAGTGGCGTCTTGCTGATGATCCTGTTTCTCCAGATGAACATGACGAGGAGCGCAAGGACCCACAGTTTCGCAAGAAAATCAAGACTAAAATTTTTCTGGGTTACACATCCAACCTCATCTCCAGTGGTCTACGCGAGACACTGCGTTTTCTAGCACAGCATAAGATGGTGGATGTGATTGTAACATCTGCAGGTGGTATTGAAGAGGATTTGATCAAGTGCTTGGCTTCTACTTATGTTGGAGACTTTTCGTTGAATGGAGAAAACTTGCGTCGTCGTGGTATCAATCGTATCGGCAATTTACTTGTTCCAAACGGTAACTATTGCAAATTCGAAGACTGGATGAATCCCATCTTAGATGATATGCTACAACAGCAAAAATTACACGGAGTTACTTGGTCTCCATCTACGATGATCCGTCGATTTGGCAAGGAAATTGACCATGAAGACTCAGTCTGCTACTGGTGCTATAAGAACAACATTCCCATTTTCTGTCCGTCGCTCACGGATGGATCGATCGGTGATATGATTTACTTCCACTCATATCGTCACAAAGGTCTCATCGTGGATATTGCTAGCGATATCCGCCGCATAAACGATCACACGATTCGTGCCCCAGGTAAGACAGGGGTGATTATTTTAGGAGGAGGCATGGTGAAACACCACATTTTGAATGCCAATCTCATGCGCAATGGTGCCGACTATGCCGTGTTTGTAAATACTGGGCAAGAGTTTGATGGAAGTGACGCTGGTGCACGACCTGATGAAGCTGTGTCATGGGGCAAACTACGTCTAGGATCTAAGCCAGTAAAACTGTATGCGGACGCTACGCTAGTATTCCCGCTCATCGTAGCGGAGACATTTGCAAAAGACTTTCATACTGTCAAGGAGAGCAATGCTATTGAGAACTCGTGAGATGCTTTTTTCCTGGAAACTTAAGCTGCTGTTCAGACAGTGAATGAAGGTGCGTTGTCTCTAAGGAAAATTTAATCGATACATTGGTATGGATACCTCATCTTATGTCTTAAGTTATGACTGGTTGGCTGTCTTTGCCACTGTCCTTGTTGATTTTGGAAACAGAAGAACCGACAACTTCCGGAAACAGACTTGAACGAGGCACACAGAGCAGCTCTTGCTCAAGATCCCCATAGAAAAGCTCTTGAAGTGTATTAAATACTGTATTTTCCATCAAATTCGCCACAATCGCCTGACAGTCAATATCTTGGCGTGTGCTGTGGTACAAAGATTCCGGAGGCAAAGTGGATTGAGCTCCTTCTAAAAAAGTAGCGTGTAGAAGGGCACAGTCGGAGCGAGGTAGTGGCACGAGCTGCTCTTTCAGGGCATCTTGGATCGTGCTAGATGTCAACACATCCATCGCCAGTGTTTCCATGACATCATACAAAACATCTTGGCATTCAGCAGCGGCCGCTTCATCCGTGCATGCGAAAACACCAGGATCAGCTTCATTGGTCGCCTCTGCGCAGATTTTTGAACAACTCTCACTATTTGAAAGCGCAGCTGACGCAGCAAACTTCTTGCTTGTTGCCCTGGTATTTGAAAATGAAGGAATAGCTACGTCTCGGACAGCTGGATCAGGTGCCGAAACTACATGCGGAATCTGCTTCGTGGTCGGCAGAGGCATTTTATTTAGCTCGTTACGGGGATAGATTCTCTCCATCACATTCTCTGGGAGAATGTGCGCAAATATCCGGACAAAAAGACGAGTGGGATTTGTAACAGGGATCATATCCAAATGATTAATATCATTGCTCGACGGTGGGAACACGTTACGAGATGGTTGAATCAGCGTTTGACGGGAATTAAATAGCTGGGTCTTTGACAACGGTAAACGAGTAATTGAGGGATTTTTACTTCTTTCTAATGCCGGCAACTTTTCATGCTTGTCAATCACCGCTTTTTGTGTGGCCGTTGAGCGATGAATGATCGACATTCGCGTTTTTGTGTCTCTATTTCGATTTAAAGAGGGGTCTGTGATTATGTGCTGTCCCCTAGGTGGTATAGCGCTTTTTGAGTCTGCATTGTTGCCAGGAGTATCCTTACAGTCATCACTATACGTTATCATGATAGCGACATCGTGATCGACGACCACAGCATCACCCCTGGCAACAACAGTAACACGAATTAGTGCCTTTTCTCCCGGCTTAAGCTCGCCACTTTTTGGTGAGAAGACGATTGTTTCGTTGATAACAAGCGGGTGCATGGTATCCCATTCAAACACAAAGCGGCGTGGTACATCGCTGGACGATGCATCGTTCTCGTTTTTCAAAACTAGCAACTGGCTCACTTCAGAATGCATTGAAACATGACCAAAGTCAACGTAGTCGGAAACAAAACAAGCAGGTAGATTAGGGATACGACAAGCTTGTTTCTTTGGAGGTGCCTTTACAGTTGGCCAAACCTTGCATTTTATTTGTGCCATTGTGTTTTTTTTAGGATGATACCCTGTTCCAATGACTGTGACTTCACTTATCTCGCTGTACCCCTTACCCATCAATCCACAAGCTTTAAACAGCAACGGCGCTTGAATTGTGCCCACCTTGATCGGATTGAACTCAATATTAAGAAAGATAGAACTTCTGGCCGGAATTATTCGCGACTGGCTTTCACAGGCAAGCACGCGATATCCATAGTTTGCTGTATTGACTCGGCTAAACGAAGCCTTGCCAACCTCCAAACGCATCGCGCTTTCGCCACGGTTGAAAACTTCAAGCTGCTGAATTGGCGGTTTGTTTATACAGATTTGAGCCAATTTGTCCTGTTCGTGGCAACGCGGCATGAAGTTTTGCCGAAATTCGCCAATTGTGACAGGAGAGAGGTAGAACACTTGCGTCGGTAAGTAGAGCTTAGGATATTTGTGGGCAAGCGTCTGCCCCTGTAACTCTAGCACCACTGTTTTACCCTTTTCAACTTCTAAGAAGAGTGGGAGATTGTGCTCTCCATCAAATGCTTCCGAATTATATGAGTACGACAGAGTCAACAGAATGCTTTGGTGTGGCAGTAATGTCGCATGACGAGGGAAGAAGTCAAACACTTTACTACTGATAATCCCGTTCAAGCGTACATCTGCTGCCGATGGAGCTCCTGTTTCAGCCCAATGTTCCATTTCCACAGTGCCTTCGTTCGGTAAGCGTAAACGATATTGTACTATGAGACTTCCTGGATTTTTAAGCATCATAAAGACCTTCTCTGTACGATTACCCAGTGGAGCAGGTGAGAACGGAAGAGCAAACCGCTTGATGGATATCTCATCGTCGAACTCGTCGCACTCTGGATAAGTTGACTCATTTATTGCCGTGGCGTGACTCAACTCCTGTTTTGTAGGTGAAGCTGCAAGGTACTCGTTTATCTCATTACACTGAAATTGGTGCCATGCAAGCTGTGTTGACAATCCAGGTACGCGCAAATCTTGAATTTCAACAGTCGGAAAAGAAGCCTCAGCTTGAATGATACATGTTGCTTGCTTTAGCTTGTCGGAATCCCATGAATAGTATGAAGAGTTTGCTGTTTGATTGCCGACAACGCATAGTACCTTAAATGTATATAGTCCTGCTGATGTCGAGGAGAATACTGCTGTTATCTTTTTTCGTGACTGTGCCGGGATATAGCCTTCTGCATGTGAAAAAACTAATTTACCAGAGCGAGGCAGAGTCTTCTTTTCTTCGGAAGTTACCACTTCGTTCATCTCGCGCTGTTGCCCAGCAACAATGTCTTGCTGTAGAGAGTATTTGAGATCGCAATCAGCAGTATTTTCGATAAAAAACATTTGTTTAGAGCTTGAGTTGACGAGAATCGTCTCAAATTTTAGCGTTTCTGGCTGGAAAAGAATTGCACCAGTCGTACCCTTTGTTTGAACTCGAATCGTAAGTTCCTGAAGTATCGGGATCTTTGACTTGAAGCTTTTACTTTCCAGCAGCGGAACACTAATCGATTTTACGGCCACTATGATTCGACAGACGTACTCGCGAATTTCATCTGGAGTAAAGACGCAATCGATCATCGCCGATTCTCTCCCGTTGAGTCTTCCAAGCTTAGGATTGACTCGAAAGACATTGTGGTGCTTTGGAGGTAGTTCGCATCGGTATACAAGTGGAACACGTGAGGTATTGACTAATTGAATCTGTCTGACGGATTGTAGACCAATGGAAGTTGGTTTCAAATAAACTTTAGCCTCGAAAGGAAGGAGTTGACCAGCTTCGATGTCCTGAAAACTTAATTGAGGCAGAGCACAAATCGCGCTCAACTCTAACAGATGTGGCTTCTCTTTATTATTATTTACGACACACTTCAGAAAGCACGAGTACTTTTGTGCGTTGCACGGCGTGAATCGTATTGCCACAAGGTGAAATGAGTTTGGTTCAATGAAACCGCCGATTGGTTTACACGAAAAAGTTCCAGATGGGTCTTCAACAAAATGATAGAGAGCTGAAGTATCACTCGAATTCTCTATCATCACTGTCTGGAACACACTATCGCCGAGGTAGCAAGGTGGAAAATGAACCTTCTTCCCCACAAGTTTAAAGTTGACTTGCGGTAAAAACTGCTCGGTTAAAGACGAGAATGTGTTACCGCATGCCTTCACTATTAAACTCCAAGGTGGCGTAAATGTATCCACATTGACAAGTCGAAAAGTGCGGTTGGATTTGAATGAAACAAATGCTTCAAACTCGGCGAAATAGTATGTGTTAATCCGGGATGGTTGGAACACAACGCGAAACTCGACAGTTGCGCCTGTGGCAATGTCACTACTGGATGGAAAAACTTGAAACGCGGACGGGTCGGAGAGTCCTGTTGTCACCGCTATATGCCACGAACACGTAACTTTGCTGCGCGTATTGTTTGTCACAAAAAGAAGCTTTTTCGAGGGCATCTGGACGATGCTGCAACTTTCAAAGTCGAAGAAGGCACTTCGTACAAATACCGCGTTCGCGTCATCCTCTATGCTGATAAAGTATTCCCTACAAATGTCGACCTCGGCCAACAAAGCCTCTCCACTACGAGTAAGGATTTGACCAGGTGAAGGAATTTGGGATACTGTTGAGTCTGTATCATTTGTGACTCGCATTTCTTCAGATTGGAAACGCTGCAATGCACCTTTAAGAAACATGGCATCACCATTTTTTTCGCGGTAAGTTTCCAATTGATCCGGTGAGAGACGCCCAAGACCAGCTGCAGCACGAAAACGATAAGCATCAACATGAGCTTGTTCGAAAGGAGAAGGACGCATTTTTTCGTCATATCCGGTCCCTAGGACGTCCACAAACTGCGTACTTTGATTGTGTACCAGCAAAAAAATTCTGCGGTAAAAATTTCCAGAGTTGGGTGGCGAAAAGGTTATGGTGATATTTAAGTCTGAGAGAGATGGGACCTTCCCTGCAATTTGGTCGAAACAGAACACACCTTGTGATTGACAGTCGAAATGAAAGGCAAGCTCAACAGCTGACGCATTTCGCAATGTGAGAACTCGTGATTCTGCATTAGCACCCACAGAAACGTCGTGAAAATTCACTGACGTTGTAGGAACGAAATTTGATTCTAAAGTTTTTCGATAGACGCTTAACATTGGGCCAATAGCACGTCCCTTGCACGTGATACGGACACGATTACCACCGGGTGTCAAGACGTCAAAGTGATCGCATGTAAAGGTACCAGCACTCAGCGGAGCGTAGCGTACCCTAATCGTAACTGTTGACTCAGCGTCCGCCACTCCACTAAGAGGGGTGAAGAAGAAAGTAGGGTCATGATCTGTTTCAAGCCGTTGAATGTTATAGCTGGCTCGCACTAGTGAGCGATTGCGCAAAATGAATTCCTTTTCTGTTGGTGCACGACTTGTGTTAGGAGCACCAACCAGTACTTCTCCAAAGTTAAGCTCTGTTACTGAGGCCGACAAATGCGTAAATTTGCTGATGCCGCTGACCTTCATCGTCTCTAAGCGCGCATGTGCTGTCGGATTTGACTCTGAGGTGTCTGACTGATAAGGAATATTGTTAGTTGGTCTACAGCTTTACAATTCAATCTCTCTTTAATTACCTTGACTACACAAGACGTAACATTGACGTACACAGAAGCGACTGTAGGAAAAAAACTTGCCGTTAGCTGAAGTCTCTCCCCCGCCTGAATACGTCCAGACTCAGGCTGGATTGCAAAAGGACTGCCATGTTCCCCCACTGCTGGCACTGTCCAGTGAAACAGAGCGTCAATCTGTCCGCAATTGTGCAAAGTAAAGCTCTGAAGTGTGGTCTCTTTCGTGGGACAAAAGCCAAAGTCCAAATGTTGAGGAAGGTCAATTTTAAGTGCCGCAATTCGTGCCGCTACTGGCACCCGAAATCGTCCAGTGACTGCAGCTACGCCGCCTTCGATCACTTGCACATAGAAGCCCACAAAATCATCGTATTCTTCAAGCTTCACGGGTCGAAAAGCCACCTCAAGGACCGTGGACATACCCGGACTAAGTGTTATCAGAGTCGGAAAATCCATGCTAAAGAATTTTGTGCGTGGCAGCTCGTACTTAAACTTAATAGTGCGCTGGGACACATTGCGCACAGTGAGCTGGCGTATATGCTCGCCCCCAGGGACCCAAGATCCGGCATCAAAACGGATGAAATCACCACAGTCCAATCCGTAATGACGATACTGCTCCACACGGTCCAGTACGGGCCTCAACGTGGCTGGTTCCATTCTCCGTCAGCAATTGCGACCTCTCATGATCGCGGATCGGTGTTTCGACTCCTATTCAGACAAAACAGTAAATTTCATTGGACGAAAACGTGATTACGAAGTGAGCAAGGCTACTTAATAGCTTTACTTCATCATCCGTGTCAAAGCATGGCACATGACGGCAGCAACCTGTTCCAGATCCGGCGCATCTTTGGCTTTTCGTCTTCCGCCGTGCCGTCAGGTGATTCAGTCTCAGCGCTTAATATCGCTGCGATGGCCGTGCATACATCAGAAACGAATCAATTATTAGCACTCGCCATAGTTGAGGAAGTTCCTGAGCCTATGCCTCACGCGAAAGGCGACAGTGCCTTGGCATCTAAGGTTCCTGCGGACGCAAAAACCAACTTTTTATTGGTTCGGACAATTGAAGAAGATCGACGCACTCGCTTCTGGCGATTTCCAGTGTGTTCCACACCTAAGCAGCAGAAAGCAGGCAAGGCGGAGCGACTTTTTGCCTTGGAGTTCAGTCCTGAGGGTGATTGGCTCGCTGCGTTGTCTCAGCGCAAGAACCGGCTACACTTGGTTCCAGTACTTACGCTCATAGCTAACCAGCGACGTGCTATGCTGGACGCGTCATATCAGCCAACGTCGCACCATCGTGAGCTTATGAATGTGAATCCGGCGGCGATGACGACGCAAATGGCATCGTATTTACGCGCTACCAATGAGTTTGGCGGGCTTAATGGAGCTCGTTATCATTCACGAGTAGCAGGAGATGATGAGCAGATGAGTACGCTCGAGTTTGCACCGGGAATCGGTCGAATTATGTGTGTCAGGTGGTGGAGATCGCTCAACGGCAAAAATTATTGTCTAGTAGGAGGAACTGAAAGCTTGATATCAATTGTTAATGTTGAAGAGAATGCAGAGGAATGCAGATGTGAGCTTGTGAATGCAGGAACAATTCTAAGCATTGAATTAATGCAGGAGAATTTTAAGAAGGAGCGCCGAACGTCTATGTTAGTAAAAAGCGCGACAAATGGTATTGATGAAAAGGAAAAGAAAGCTGGGAAGGCGGGAATAAAGTACTATCGAGTAGTTTTAGAAAAAAAGTTTCAATCACCAAAGAAGGCAGATACGAATGACGAAAAGAAATTTTTGAGTTCAACACTTAAAGTTGAGACAACGAGTGGGCAAGCCTCATCTTCGAGCGAGACAAATTTTAAGACGACAGGTAATAGCGGAGGGTCGGTGAGCTCGCTAGGTCAGTCAAGAGCGCCTAATTTTGTTATCAAGACGTTTCCGCAGCACTTTTTGGAGGAGATGGATTTTCGTCCTCAACGTGTCAAAAAAAACTTACCACATGTGAATCTGTACCCAATTAACGGAGTTCTGAGTTCCGAGTCATCACTGGCGTTATATGATTGCAAGCAACAAAAAGTGAGCATTTATTCAAACTTTCATTGGAGAGTCAAAGGTGAGTTTGAGGTTCCTGACCTTCGACCAGTGTTGCTCGCAGATATAAAGGAGCATCGTTATAGTCAAAGCAATGTAAGTCACCCACAGGTGGAAATGAAGGCTGTTGAGGATGACGACGAAGTTGTGGATGTGGACTTGACGCACTGCTCGATGGATTTAATGTTGCTCCAAGGACGTATGTCAAAGTCGAGCAAGTCGGTCTCAACATGGGTCTCCCTTCCATCAAACCAAGGAACGGACGAAAATTTTGCTCGTGCACACATTGTACATTATTTATCATTGCATGGCAACGAAAGAGTCGAGCGCGTGGTCCAAAGCACAGCACATAATTGCCAAATATTGAGTCAAGGAGGTGCGAGCGGTGCAATAGGCGGCAATCACTCAAGTGACGCAGAAATCATATACATTCTCCAAACAAAACACCATGTGTATGAATGTCGACCACAATGGTCCCGTTTGACGCTCTTCAAGGCTCTGTGTGCTCGCAAGATCACGCTTCGTGATGCCTTATCAATTGGTTACGCACTTCATATTGACATGGCATCACTCTGTCAAGTAGTTGCTGATACTTTGCATACCAGCGTACTTGACGGTAGAACAAATGCAAATGATCAATTAATTGAGTGGGTTTGCGAGCTTCTTAAAGTTTCCCGCGTTGTTCCGTCTGATGCTGTCGAGCAGCTGACTGCGATGGGTGGGGTGCAGTGTGCAATTGATTATGCCCAGAACGTGCTTGCAAAACCTTCCAGCAATGCTAGACACGATGAATCCGAGCGACAGCAGGTAGCCTTTTTGCTATTCAAGTTGGTTCTTCAGCAGCAGCTACAAGTAGATCCGTCAGATAATTCGGAAACAGATCAACCTCGCTGTTCTCAAAAAAGCCAGAGTCTAGCGCGAGAAGCGTGGCTCGTGAATTTCTTAAAGACCAATGACGATTACATAACATCCGAAATTATGGATCTCTGTCTTTCCCAGCAGAACATAGATAAGGCGATCCTTGTAGCAATTGAACGGGATGAGGTACCTCAAGTGATTGACAAGATTGTAAGGAATGGGTTAACTGCGGGAGTATCCGAGAAAATGGTGCGTTTGTTGATAAGATCGGGTCACAGTTTTGCACTTACTTCACCCGCCAGTCGCTTGATACTACGGTCATGTCCGATCCAACTTCAAGTAGAAGTTCTCTTGGCGTACCCACCTGCAATTGTTCAGCAACGAGACTGGCTGTTGCGTAATTTAGCTGCAGTTACACCAGAGCTTTGCCGTCAGCTCGCTGGCAAGATTGATCCTACTCAGCCGGACAGAGACGCGTATACACTTTCTGCAACAAAAGAGGAAAGGTCATCAGCAAGACCAAAGATGCAATCTGACGTATCGACGTCTGAAGTGATAAAAGCAGCACCAGAGGATCAAGTGGAGCTTTATCTCACTCTCCTGCTGCATTTGAATAGTACAGCATGTCAATTTCAGGAACAAAACGCTCAATTGGAAGCAGAAAGTGAAAACAGGTTTTCTCAAGCAAGGCTGGAGTTGCTAATGAAGAGCTTGGCAACGCAATATCGGCCACCTATCATGGTGTCTCGGTGTGTTGATTACGACAACTGGACCGCGGCAGCCTGCATTTATGAAGCTCACGGTGAATTAGTAGAAGCACTCGAATGTCGCTTACGTTCACAATCACCGCAAAAAGTACAAACCTTGAAAACCACGCAGTCATGTACGACACCTCAGCAATACAAACGATGTCCCCAAGAGCAAATGCGCGGGGAATTATTGGAGCTACTGGATTCACTGGTCGTGCAACGTCACACCTCCAGTATGGATTCCGACCAAATACGCGCAGCCATTCTCGCTCGAATTCTTGTCAAATGGTTCGACTATGGCCTGGAGCGCATTGCGCTGGAAGAATTTCTGTGTGATCCGAATGTCTTTCAGCACGTATCGTCATTACTGGCTCAGATTTTTTTCTCTGATATAGTAAATTCTATTTCATCAGTGGGACTAGCAGCAAAATTTACAGTAAATGGATGCTCATATTTCGATGATCGCGACCTGGAATGGGTGCACAAGTGCCAGCAGCTATCTTTCTCGGGCCAATTTATCTTCCGCGTTTGTGTATCATTTCTTGAAAATGGTAACGACGAGTCCAGAATATTGGATACACAGAGCTCGGAGCCGTCGCCTTTGAAGTTGCTGGAGCTCGTCACAAACAACATCATTGAAAATGATTTATCGCATCGTAAGGTATCTATAACTCCCCATTCGGCCCAAGCTCTTGGCAAGACCGACCCACTCGAGACTCACGTTAAGGTTTTTACGTGCAGTCATTTGTTTCCAAAGCGTGTGTTTGAAGAGGAGGTGGTGCCAGAATTCGAAAAGCGCATGAATGCGCTACCCATGCCTCTCTTTGCAACCAAACAAGCGTTTATCCGCGAATTCAAGCGAGGTTCGAGTGAGACGCCATGTCCAGTGTGCAGCTTTAACAAAATCAGTCAGGTCGTCTTCCAGCACTTCAAGACAAAACACGGCGCTGCCGGACATAAGTCCCCGATTCGGTCAATACACCGTCAGCAGCAGAATAACAAGGTGCAGTATTACTATCTACATCAAAAGACCGGCGATCGTCTTGGCGGAGCTACCAAAGTGCTGCCGTTAAACAACGAAATTTGGGAATGGAGTTACGTTGAGGGTTATCAAAAGTCACGTGATTCATGATATTTCTACATTGAGCTTGAATTTTGTTTGATAAATTAAACGCGCAGAAAAATTGGACCGATGTCACTTATCTTTTCCGCTTTTTTCCACGCTTTGCGCGTAATTCTGCGTTACGCTTGTCTTTTTTCATACGCAGATCTACCACCTTTACCTTCCCCTTGCCAATCTTCTTGCCTCCAGCAGTTTTAGCGCCGCCTCGGGTCGACACGACATATACTTTGCTTTCTTTCTTGAGACGAGCACCCTTCATGGCACGATCAATAGCTTTAAGCTTCTCGCGGGTCGACATATCGGGCAAATTAGCAATGTCTGTAGCCTGCTTCTTTGCCGCCTTGAGCTTTTTCATCTTGAGACGATTCTTGCGGCCACGGGCCTCAGCCACTTTCTTGAGAGGCTTCGTTGCCATATCCATAAAACGTTCCTTCATCTGTGCCAATACGTTTTTCGGAATTGGTATTTGAGGACGGTAGTGCTTCTCCTCGTCGTCTACAAACCAGTCAGGCAAACCCTCTGAATCGTTCCAGGCATAACGATTATAGCTGGCATCGATAAGGTCCTTAGCTTTCGACTTGTGGATCATCATGCTAGCAAGCGCCATTGTCTTGGCACGATCTTCAGCATCGTACTCCTCGTGATCGGAGTCATATTTTCGCTCGTCCATGACCGGCAATTCTTCCACTTCCGGCTCCTCACCAGCAGCGACAACATCAATTTTATCGGTTAAGCTCTTGTCATCTTTCAGCGCAGCACCCATACCAGAACGAATCAATGCTTTCTTTTTCGCTGTGACTTCGTCATCACTTTCTCCAGCTTCAGTATGTACGTCAGAGTTGGCTGCCGCTACGACGTCGAATCCTGTGCCAAACTCGAGCTCGTACTCGTTCTCTTCTTTTTTCAGCTTCTTCTTGGCCCGCCGTTCTTGCCGCTCCATTGCAGCCTTGCGTTTGACGTGACGAATCTCTTTATCCGTCATTGGCATTTGTGGTAGAGCCAATGAGTCGTTTACTTCGATACCTTCAAATAGCTTGTTGTTCGAAAACCAGCGATTTACAGCGGCAGTTGATTTTTCAGGCACCTTGAGCGATACGTTCAAATCGTCGTCGTCGCTTTCGTCTGAACTCTAAAAAATCAATAAAATAATTGATAAGCGTCAATTAACAATACAAGTAATTGCAAGCTTTCGGATGCTCAAAGGACTGCAACCCATTAATCTTCGAGAAATCTGAAGATGCAGTCAGACATGATAGCAATCCATGTTCATTTTCCCCATTTTTGACAACTGAACAAAGGTACCGATCGAACCCAGAACAGATAACACGGATGGGGAGGAACGCGGCATAACGCATATGCAACGAGAAACTTACCTCCTCCGGGACAATCATTTTCTGATATTGCTTCATGTCGCCGTCAAACATTGCGCTATCTTGGACGAGGGCTTCCCCAGCCAGTGCACGCTTGGCCACCTTAGTGCGCTTGACAGCCTTCCGAGTCTTCACATCGTCGCCGCGCCGCGTTAAATACTCATCGTAGGCTTTCTCCATTGACTTATCGAGCAGCTCATCGTACTCTGCATCACTGTCCTCACAGTCTCGACTCACATCCTCGTCTGACGTTTCAAATTCAAGGCTCTCTTCAGAACATGAATCCGCTCCGGCATTTTCCAGCTCGTCCACCTTGCTTTTAGAAAGCTTCAGCTCCTTTAAACTAAATGCCGCCTCAGTCTCCATAATTTCGATACCCTCCGCATTCATACCCAAAGCAGCTCGAATTCTAAGCTTTTGTTTCCGTTCTCGTTCCTGTCAAACATGAAGCCTCCTTTAGTACACTATCATAGAAATAAATAGGTACACAATAGATGTATGAACACAAGAACGGTTGAGAGTCTTATGATCCAAAAGACCGCAACAGCTGTAGGCTGCAATTTCTTCTAGGCGGCTTCAATAGCCAGTCTGTTCAAGGACCAATCCAACCAAATGGAATTGGAAGGGGCTTTGGATTCCCGCCGACGATACATACAAACAGATCTATCTGCGGATGAACGACCCAAATCGACCGTCATTTGCACTGACAGCAATGATAGGATAGGGGGTCGCTGGTCAATATGAGCGCTTAACGGGAGTCGGGAGGGTTAATCCGCAACATGTCAAACGAAAAATGTGACAAGGACTACTGGGATACGCTCGCATCGAACAAATACAACGTGTATACATGAAACTACCACACATACCTTTTTCTTCTCACGTTTTTTTCTGGATAGAACATTTGCTCGCAATTGAGATAGCTCCTCCCGGACTAATGCATCTTTCTCCTCCTCGGTTAACTCGAGCTGAGGCTCTTTCTCCGAAATGTTTTTGTCTTCCGTCTTCTCCTCCGGCCTTTCGGCCTTAAGAAGCTCTTCCTTGTATTTCACCATTCGAGAACGCCATCTTAACAAACTCTTGAAGTCACCCTTACCCAGCACCTATAGAAACAGTGAAAGATGCGTCAGCAGAGTAAAATTGTCGGCACACAAAATCCAGGGCAAAATTGGTGTGAAGGATCAGACAGCACGAGGGCAATTCACAGCAACGCCACAACACTGGCTTCCAGTGGGTTTTCCCGAATTTAATCAGGCGCCGGAACAACAGTGGGGCTCAGACTTTACAGCTTTGGAGTCATCACTTCCTTCCTCATTTAGCCAACAATGCAGCCAACGATGCTTAATCTTTCATTTCGTACCTTTAGATCATTTAAGCACGTCACAATTTCGTCCGATGTGTCTTTATGGTCACGAAAAACATCATCTTCTGGCATGAATTTAATGCTAGTCGTATCTGTCAATAGTCGAATGGGGTCGTGTGCATCAATAAATTGCGATACACTGCACTCATTCGTTAATGTTACTCCCAGAGCCTCGTCGTAACCTATGACAAACCATCAGAATCAGCAAAAATATACATAAAAGATGGAATACTACCGAGCTTATGTCATAGATCTCGTTCCAAATTGCAAGCAATGCATCTACTTCATCTCCCGTAAGAGAGTGAGTAGTATATACAGACACTGGATACGATTGATATCGCTTTTGGCAGCAAGTAGCGCTAGGGACCAATGGGGACAGGCCACTAGTGACTCTATTGAATGCAGCCGATATGCAACAACGACAGACAGCACCTATAGTAAACATACCTTCACGATGTCGTTTACGGTCACCGAATTTCGGATGAAATATGGTGATTGACTTTTCCTGCGAGTCTACTTGATCAAAGACGTACTTTGGATCGAATAACTTCGGGTCAATTGAGTGTGGAGCCAAAAAATGCTCACAGACAACGAAAATCTCGGCGGATTCGTTACGCGACGACAAAGGCTTCGTAGCGCTCACCTTCTTAAATAGTTGCTTAAATACCCAGAGAAGGGCATTATAGTCTTGCGAGCGAAAAACTTTCGACACAAAGGTGCCGCCTCGTCCCAGAACGTCAACTGCGAGCTTGAGCGCAATCAAAGCTAGTTCATTTTGCACATAGGCATCTTTGGAATACTCTGCCCCGACATTTGGCGCACCGTCACAGAGAACAACGTCGGCCTGCCAGCTCTGCATCTCCTGTTTGATGATCTGGCGACATCGGGCAGTTGTGATGTCACACTGAAACGTTTTGACACCTCGTATAGGGCGAATGGGTAGCAGGTCTATACCCAGAATGATACTGGAAGCAGGCATATACTTAGCTGCTACCTGACACCATCCACCGGGAGCGGCACACAAGTCTATACACACTTTGGCCGTAGACAGGAAGTCATACTTCTTATTTAATTGAATGAGCTTAAACGCCGACCGTGCACGATACCCCTGTTGTCTAGCTAGATTGTAATATTTGTCTTTATCATGCTTCTTCCGTTTAACCATAGCGGCAGTTTGCCGATTCTGAAGTGTTACAATCAATGTATGGACATGTAGGAACGTCTACCAACCAATGAACATATTGAGGGCAAGTCAAAAGCAGGTACAGCAAGTTTTTACGGTAAAAACTCAAACGAAATTTTATAAAATGTTCAATTTTTGAAATTTATGGCGCAGGCTTGTGAATTACTACACGGTCGATGAGATGGACCTTAGAACGGTCTGCCGTATTAAACTTGCCATCAAGTGACGGGTTCTCAAAGTCCATACGCAACATGTTGTCAACCTTGGACACTAGCGGCTTCCAATAGCTCGGACGTGTCCATTTAAACGACGGCAAGTTTCGCTCTAAGGAAGCGCGCGGTCCGTGGCCTCCACTCCACTTTGGGTCTCTGTGACATAGTAATTGAAGTAGGAACAGAAGCGATTTGAGGAATATTCACAGCTCGTACCTGCACCACCGATGCGGCATCTTGTCCACACCAAAGGCGAGCACTTCGAGTCGACCCTTTTTGTCAAAGTGCAGGCGCAAAAAGTTCTTGTAGCTGGCAATGCGCAGTGAGGAAAAAGCTTCATTGTAGTGGCATCCAAGGAGATTGAGCGAGAGGTATAAGTACGTGCCGAAGACAAAACTGACAACAGGCGTGGCCAGCACCCAGAAGTACGGGAACACACTTGCATAGTAAGTCCAAAGTTCCATTCGTCCAAGACTTTCATATCCCGACGTACAAATCTTGTTGCGATGCAACGCAACCATCTCTGGCACTGATGAACATCACAGTCAAGTAAATGATAAATGTCAATATGACAGTTCTCATGTGGTTACGAACCGTCGAAGATGGTCATGCAGAGCTGCATAAACTCTCCGTACAATGAGGCGAGTCCAAACAAGTCATACTTTCGAATTGCGGAAAAATCGGGTAGCGTACTGCTGAAAAAGAGATAAAGCGTGTGTTCCCCTTCGCGGCCTAGAGCGCCACGAGCCGAGGCAATTTCCAGGAGGCATTCGTATATAAGCAAGATAGTAAAGGCAGCCACATAATGAAAGCATGAAACTGTCAATCCCATGGCGCATCGCTTTGGGAATGTAGTGCAATCTGCAAACCCAATTGTCCCAAACAGCATCGCAATCGAGCACAAAAGCGACACATGCGAAGTAGTCACCATATCATAAAGCACATGCACAAGCTCCTGGTAAAATTGCACTACTGCATCCCAATGCGTTGCTGCAGCATAGATTGAACCCACCGAGCAGCGAGGAAACATTGAGAATACTAGCACAAAGTACTGAGGAAAATCTCTCAACTTGCTGATCTTGACAAAATTGTACTGTTAAGTCACGTACCCCAACTCCACCAATAGCATCGAAGCGCCAATTTAGGCGGCGAAAGCCGAGCACATTTAATACCGCATAGCGCCTTCGATGAGCATTGTATCAATTTACAAATGGCACTACATTTGATATCTCAAAAACGTACCTGGAGACATGGGCTGGTGGGTAACACAGCTTCTGCTCGTACAAGCCACCATTTGATACTATCTTCGAACTTGGTATGTGCGTTGGGTGCAAAAAAGCACCTCCACCACCCGAGATAATCAAATGTCTGGCAGCACATTTGTGTCCAACGGTAGAAGGTGTTGTGGGCTCAGTATCGCACGCTACTTCCTCGTTTTCAATATGATCGTCATGCTGTTTTAGATGTGGAAAATGCATGTGAACAGGAGACGAGAACGAGTGTCTGCGAGGAAGGTTCACTGTCGAAAACCTCGGTCGCGGCATATCGAATATCATGGAGGTAGGACGCTTGAGCATGTGTGATTCCTCTACCAGCGAATGCCGCATGTAGTTATGAATATCTCCAGCAAGTCGCACAGCAACTCGACCCTTTAGCACCCTCTCAATCAGATATGACAACTTCACGTCAACATTTGACTTGTCTTCGTACACATTAAGAAGCCATCGCGGTTCGTGTGTTAGCACTATGACTGCATCATTCGGACCCATTTTGCTCTTCGCTACTCGTTCAAAAAAGCCAAATTGCTCTATATCTATATCGTTCTCAAGCGCTAGATCCACGCCGAATAACCACCAACCATGTGGAAGCTGGAGACTAAAGTAGCTCGTTTTTTGAGGAAGCAACCACCCACCAAGCCAGTCTCGCTGACAAATGTATCGCGTAAACGTATTGAGACCGTCGAACCAATCGTGGTTTCCAGGAATCGCAAACACGCTGGGACCTTTGTATTCGCGCAGTGATGTGCAACCTTCAGGAGCCTTTTTTTGCGTAGAAATTGCGGATGGGTGATACGAGGGTGGCGGCTTCATGGCATACTCAAAGCAACGAAACAATCGTGTCTCGTATGTCTTGTCATCTGGGTGCGGATAAGCCAGATCACCACCAATAATAAGTGCGTCACCTCTCGGAAACACTCGTTTGACTGTTTTTGTCTTTTTCTTCTTCTCAGCGTCTTTGTACATCACGAATTTTCCATCATCATCATCGGGTAGTTTGCACTCTACATCTAGTTGTGGTTGAGCAAGCAAACGTGCGATTTGGTAACTACTGTTAAAACCATCTCCGCAGTCGGCCATAAAATCCAGCCACACCTCTTCCTTCTCAGCAAGATGATCAAAGTAATAGTCTTCATCATTCGGATGCAGTGCGCGTTGCATCGTGCGCATGTCAAACCTACCGAGAAAGATCTTGAGAGAAATGAGAAGATCAAATACCGTGTCGAACAGAAGCATCGAATACCAAGGCACCATCGGTAAGTTTAGCTCAGGTGGCAAAAGCTCGTGACCATTTTCTCCTTCTGACAACTCATCCACACCGTTGTCTTCCGCTGAATTTTTAAACCATCCGAAGGATGCTATCATACGAATTCCACTATAGCGTTCCAGAATAAAGTTGGTGATGGCAAGCAGCATGCCCATACACCAGATCAGTATTGCTCCACCGTAACTACGAGTGAAAAGCAATCAATTAGCCCATCACAGCTCAAGTACCTAGCAAAGTGGTATCTCTCATACCTTGCGGGGACCAGTGTATCAACCTCGTCTGACTGAACAAACGAGAAGATCTGAGCACATGCATGGCTATTGTACGTAACCGGTTCATCAGGAGTCGCAGCACAGTCATAAGTTGCGTCGCAGTGTACAATAAGTGCTACACAAGCAACGCTTATCGCAGCGCTATTGCGAAGCACATTCATGAACGACCGTCCTAGGCTGCAATTCCACGATAAATCAGAAAATTAGCGATATGACCTGCGCAATCAGCACCGCATATGACGACCTACGAAACGTGAGCTACCGTCCAGGAGAAGCCGAGCTTTTTTGTGATGCGCGAAAGGAAGAGCGCCATGAGCACTTCCAATATGATCAAAAAGACAAAACTTGCTGAAAAAAATGGAAATAACAGCGAGATCTATCCACATCACCAGGTGTGTTTTTTAGCTCAGAAAATCTGTTTGGTAAAAATTACACATCACCGCACAGGTTGCTTAATAGTAGAATCCAATAACCCCAGAGCATGTACGGGCGTATGCAGCGCTGCAGCGGAGATTAGCCACGCATAGAGCACCATGGAGAAATAAACATAGGGCGTCCAAGAATCAAGCAGCTCACGGTTGCCCACAAATGGGCTTGTAAAGAAGTAAAAGGCCAAATAAATTACCAGGTAGAGCGCAAACCAAATCTGCATTGACAAACGAACGATTATTGTTAGAGGTTGCAAGTATACCCCACTTTATCAACATGCAATTCGCGCACTAGTTGGTCCTCAGCCTTCGTGGACGCGGGCTCCATCATAGAGTCGATGGGCCACGGCATCTTTGCTCGTTTGGGGGTGGTTGAAGCTATTATATTACTGTCCATCACACACACCCTGTCATATCTGCTACAGTTTAATTATAGCAATGAGGTAATAATATTACCTCTATATTATAGTTTTATCATCCCAATACCTAGTAATTTGCGCATCCCTACATTTTGACGCACGTGGATATTCATAAGTACTGACATATTGGAATTTAAGAAAACATTGCGAGCTTCCTCTGTGCGAAGTGCAACTCTATTGCGCTTGGTGACTAGTAGTAAAGGGATCGCGAAAGAGACTGTAATCTCTGAAAGGGTGGAGTTTTAATATGAGTACCTGTCCCAAAACAACTAACAACCTGATGTCTATCTTTGATCCTGGTGGCTATAAGGAACTGGCGGCCAGAGGGTCGCAAGCGGTAATCGCTCGCCCCAAAGTACTCACCAACTTTGCAATGGTCTGCTCTTCAAAGGTTGATGGGCATGAACGCATGGTTGCGTTTGAGTCACGCCATCTAAAGCTGTTGCAATGGGTGCATTTTTTAATACAAGGAGCAATTTGCGATGAAGAATGCCATCGTCAAGTTTAGAGTGCACCTGTGCATAGCGATATTGTCACCATATGGTGTTCTTTCTGTGACGAGTATACGTTGTTAGTGGGACAGTCGATAAAAATTGATTTACTTATTACAGCCCGTCTACGCTTCAAAATAAATCGGTGGTGTGACCTCATAAATTTAAGCGTCATGCGAAGGGTGTGCAATGCTATGGCTGAGAGCCAAGACAAACATAAGCAGCATGCTGATCTCAGAAGAAGGCAGACCACGCACAAACATGCTGTGGGCAAAAGGTTTTATTGATGCAATTGATATACCTACACATGCATTGTCTGCGGTCTACGACCGCGCCGTTCACCGTCGTAGCAAAAAGAGGCTGAATCTTACTCCGAAAACCCAGAAGCAAATGCAAATAGATTCAGTGCTAAATATGCATACTGGTGCCACACCAGGATCCCGTTTTACGGGCAGCACGGACGTGAAGAACTCGAAGCAACTTCTCTACCATTTCCTGAAGCCAAACTACTTTCTGCTCCAGAGCAGTAGCGCGGTTCTATACCACCAGGGGTGCTTCAAGCCAGACAGTGCTATGGCGAAGCTCAGCGAGCGAGTCTGATATCTGGACTATCTCAGCCTCGGACGCACGTCGCGACTCTCGGGAAGAATTGCCGCCCCGCATTGACCAATAGAGATCACGAGACCCAGTCGCGGATAAAAAGACCTCCGCACTGCTCGATGATCAAAGAGCGGTCCACTTCCACGTGGAGCGTCAAGGCGGGTACATCAAGGCTGTAAGCAATACTTGGTGAAGTGAATGTGGTACCTATCTCGTGAGAGTTTGAGGCTTCACTTTGGCAAGACTTTTCTGGTGCTTAATTTCCAATCGGGTTCAGAGTGTGTTCGTTCCACATAACCAGATACTAATTACCGCCTTAATGCGCCAGTCAGCTCACTATTTGTTCCACAGAAAAGTAGATTAACCTTCCTAATCGAACAATGATACTCCTCTGAGTTGGCTCACGTAAGTTTTTTTCTTGGTTTAGTGACACGTCGGCTCTGTCCATGAGTCTCGGTGTGAGATCAGCAACTTTTTGGATGTAAACTGCTTTATGCGCCACGACATCTTAAGAAGTACCATATGTGAGTTAGCAGAGTAGGTTAGAAATTGGTTGAGATACTGCTTCGCCTCATGTAGAGCGCTTTGCAATTGCATAACTCGTGAGAATGGTAATGTGGTGTGGCTCAAGCAGGTCCAAGTAGAACACAGAATGTGTTCGTTGCTCTTCAAAATATCTACAGTAGAGCTCAATACTTTTCTGGCTACGACCGTATTTTATTAAATGGAGCGAGAATGCAACTGAGTCTTGTAGCCTGTGGAAACTGCATACTTAGGGAAGATTGACAACAGTCACTGCATTTTCTCGTCCAAGTGTGTTTACTCTGGTATTGGCATTCGCTTTTACACATTTATGCTACCAGCCACAGAATTGCGCACTCGGCGCTTGACACTCACTTTCCCTAAGATTAAATCCACATTTTTGGTTCAATTTGTGGGGGACTGAGCTTAAAAAGCAAAGAGACATCAAATGAAGAAAAGCTTAATAAGGTCGAGCTGCGCGATATATTTCAAATCAGTAATGTAAGTACGGTGAGAATATAGCCAGAATTGAGATACACACTTCGCAGTGAAGTGTTAGCACACATTGATCGGGGTGCTAGGCACCCAGCTAAACATATCCATATCCACCGCTGGCATACTTAGACAAAACGCCTATTTTTTGTAAAGGATTTTACCCAAAGCAGTTGCGCAAAAAGACCGCGATGCTGGAGCAACTGTAATGGTATCGCTGGCAGATAGAAAATGAGCCATGTTTTCAGACGGTCCAAATTGATCGCACAACCAGAATTACTAGACGTGTCTATGGGGTACCGAAATAAGGTCGATACTCATCGCTTGATGACAAAACAAGCAGAGTGGCCACCGTATGCGACGAGGATTTAACAGATGTTGGCGTCTAAACCTTGCTCATGTATGCGTGAGCTCAACTATACATATTGCGCCGGTAATTCACACGCCAACCAACCAGTATGTATTCTCTCGGTCGAATTGGCTTCGCAAAAGAGCATCATGTGATTTTGCAGTAGACTATTCGAGATCGGGAAGATTGAGGCACCACTACATGCTAAAATTTAATGAATCCGGTGCAGTAATACAGTATCCTTTGGATCAGGCGTGTCGGCTCAGGCGTGCAGCCGTGTGCTTCTATGCTGCTATATCAAAGCTTTTTAGCTCCTTGCATCCAACGTTTAAAGCAATGCGACAAAAGCTGCGTCTGACCCGTACGCCGTACTTATCACCTCATCAAATAGCAGCATCACAAAGCCTGCTAATTTATTGTGGTGCGGCGCGTAAACGCATCTGCCGCAACATTAAGCCGTCCTTAAAGGAATTCGACAAAAATGATGACCATCTTGCCATTCTGTATGATAGATGTGCGGGCGTCGTCGCTATGCGCAACGACGCATGATCTGTGGTGGTCACAAATGACTTTTGAGCCAAAGAGGTGCAGCCTAAACTTATAGTTTATTAAAAGTAGCATTTTGTCGCTAAATAGGTGGCTCCTCTCACAGACCTTCGGAATGCGAGACTTAAAAGCAATTGCTAGGTTATACTTATTGACATCTGTGTGAGAGAAGAACAGCCTACTGCAAAGGCTGAAAAGTCACAGACGACATGGAATGGCCGATCTGAATCTGGTAGAGCCAGAACCGGAAAGCGCATGCAGCTTTTACCGAGAGCCATAGAGCAATGCCGTTTTCCAGAAAATTTGGTGCTCTCTACGCTCCGACTATTGCGCGCTTTGTACCCGCAGTCCACTGTGACATCCAACTTGATACCAATGCGCTGCGCCTGGTTTAGCGAGTATAACTTACCCGTCTGCAAGCACAAGAATCACAACGACTTAAGCGGGCTATGCCACGCTATGAAAAATTTCATCCATCAGAAGTTACCCGCCACGCCGTGGTGGGGCCCTTCTATGCTTAAGGGTGCGGATCTTTTACTTGAACAGATATCAATTGAGTGCTACAGGCTGGAATAGTCTACACTCCCCATAATGATCACACTCTCGGTTTAACATGCTAAATAATCGCCGAAAGGTACCGAAGTATGTTATCGCCCTCAGTGAAGGAGGCACGTCGCCTGACCAGCATTAACTATTTCTTTTAGGCTATCCGAGACAACCCTAAACACGGCGCGCACGCTCGCGCTTGAAGGGAAGACCTAATAGGAATGCGGCAAAATTGAAACCTGATTGAAAAGTGATTATGTCTATCAAAGCTGCATAAATGAAAGCGTTTTGTATCCTAGAGATCATATGTATAAACCTACACATGCAAAAGTAAAATCTATGAACCCGATGTATAAAACATGAGATGGAGCCCAGAAAAACTTGAAGTCTTCGTGAAACGTTTCCCGCACAGTGACCGGATCGCGCTACTTACTTCAGATGGCAAAGACACGTCGGCCATCACCAGTGCAGATTTCCAAGTAGGAACCATCTTGCTGCACTGATGTAAGTACAGCAGACATTCATGACATCATCCAATGATGTCACACGTGCATGTGGATTCTGTTGTATTGTGACCCTTTTGTTTTTGTCCCCACAATGCATGTTTGAGGTGATGCGAGCCACAAAAGTACACCTTCATATAATGGCCAGGTATGGCTCATACTCTGAGCAGTAAGGAATACTACGAATAGTAGCTTAGCACATGCGTAGAAACCTGATCGAGGTGATTTTAAGTGTGATTGCGGACTTATTTGAATCTTCACATGCGTAGAATTTATTGGGGTAATATTGTTATATAATGTGGAGCTGTTGACCTAGTAAATCAGTCAATTTGTTCGAGTTTTAAACTTCAAAGTAATAAAACTTTTGGGGTCAACGTGAATGTGCATAATAACAAATCAAGAAAGTATTTTAGGAACTAAAATGTATTGATTAAATCCAAAAGACCATAAATAGGGCCGAATAGTAGTTTTGTGTCAGAAATATGCAGCCGCACATTTAAACTCATCTTCCGATCTAGATTATCTGCCGTCAGAATATAAACGCATATGAAGTCTGCAAACAACATATTATATTCATTATTCAGCTCCTTGTTTTTTCTCCTCACTGCGTGTTTCCTGAGGGCGAATGACCCCCCACCGACCCAAGCCGCTCATGGTGAGTATTAAGACTTTAAAGGGCAAGGATGGAGAGAACTTCCTGCTCTGGGTGAGTGAGGTCGAGATAGCTACGGTGTCCGCGACGCTCCAGACCTAGTAATAGCGCGAGCCACTAGCTATGCCCATACTCGGCGGTCGAGCGCGAGAATGGCATTGACGTGCGACACTTCGGTTTAGGCCGCGTTAGCCTCCTGGACGAAGCTGAAGCGTCAGCTTTCACGAGTGTT